TTAAAAAAAATATTTACGGAACTAGAGCGACTTGACACTGTAGTTGAAATTACTGCTGAAACTTGCGGGTGTCAACTTCGTACAAGTTGTGGGTTACCATGTGCGCACGAACTTAACTTCTATATGAAAGAAGACTTGTTTATTCCATTACAAGAAATTGATGTCTTCTGGAGGACTTTAGATATTCCTGACCCTACAGTAGAGGAGGAGGATGATGTAACTTGTGATGCTGAGCTTGAAAGGTTCAAAAAAGGTTTTGCAGATCAGCCAAAGTCAGGGAAGGTCTCATTTTTGAGAAAACTTAGGGGGATTTTTGAACCATCGACCTATATTGTTGGTGAACCTTCTGTTCACAAAAATATCCGTGGTCGTCCAAGTTCAAAATCCAGCAAGGACAAACAAGTGTTGCCTAATGAAAGTCGTAGACATAGTTGTTCATCGTATAGACCAGCCGTTCAGTCTGAATTGAACGAGCCACCACGACACAGTGAATATGTCTACCGCGATCTGCCACCCAAGGTTGATCCACCACAGTGTAGCTCATATATGCCTTTTTCTTTTGATTTGAATGATCTGCCACCTATGTCCGAGCAGAACTTTGTTTATCAAGACCCGGCACCATCAACTCAATATGGTTATGATCATTACGAACTGCCACAACAAAACGAATATTATTATCAGCAGCCAATAATGGAGGTATTGTTATTTTATACTTTATTTTTTTATAAAAAGATACAATCTAGTTGTCAATTAAAATTTCTTTTATCTTATATTTTTTTTTAGGAACCGACACGGTATACACATCCACTGATTCATGAAATTCCATCTTTCTTTCAACCATATGTCATCGGGATTGAAGATGTTGAAGGCGATGGAAATTGTGGTTTTCGGTCAGTAGCTGTTGCTATTGGTCGAGATCAACATGATTGGCCATCGATTCGTCATGAATTATTGCAGGAATTGCATACCAATAAAAAACACTATAAAATTTTTTTTGGTGATTATTATAAGGTTGTGGAACACTCCTTCAAATTTCAAGGCATTGGATTTGCACCGATTGAGCATTGGATAAAAATGCCCGAAACTGGTCTCGTGATCGCGAACAAGTACAACTGCATTTTTTATTTTTTAACAGATGCAGGTAGTTACACATTCTTTCCGCTTTGGACAAGTCCACAAGCTCCAGAACTAAATCAATCCATAGCAATTGCATTTGTTCATGGAAATCATTTTGTGAAAGTGGATTTGCAAAATGGACATCCAATGCCCAAAGTTTCTCCGTATAAAAGTGTCTGTATGAAAGAATGGAGACAAATGTATAAGGATCGTCTACAATTGTAATAATACAAAAAAAAAATGTATTTATTTATAATATTGGTCAAATCATGCCTTTATTTTTATTTATTTTAAAAATAATTGTTAAATCATGTAATGATTTTAAAATCATTTAATAACTAATAGTCAAATCATATAATAATTTAAAAGTCACATCACGTAATGATTTAGTAATGATTAAAATAATTAAAGGATAATTAGAGAGGGGTGTACAATTAGAAATTTAGGGGGTGTACATATAGACACCCCCAAAATAAAAACAGAATGCCATGAAACATTAAAAAAAAAATCAAGAAATTGCCAGGGATCTTTTGTATAGGAAAAAATCCAATTTTAAAATGTGGATTTACAGGTCTTTGTTAGACACCGTTGTAACCAAACCCAAAACCCTAATGCCAAATGTGTCTAATTTCCTATATAAACCACTCAGCCGCAAGCCTTTACAATCCACCCTCAGAGCCATGGAAAAAACTCCTCTGCTCTCAAAGCCCTGTTTCCATTTTTCTCATAAACTTTCTATTTCCATTTGTATCATAAGCCCTCTCATACAAAAGGGTTCTTGAAATTTCAATATATATGAATTATATTGATTGAATTTTTGGATTTTGTGATGTGATTTTTTTATTTTTTTTTTTAGGAATATGATGATAGTATTTTTGTCGCCCCAGTCTTAATCTGCATCTACTGATGATGCAATGTGGTGATTGACATTTTTATCTGATCCAATAATATATTTTCTTCTATTCTTTTATCAGTGATATGTTTTTATTTATTTATTAAACAATTTTACATCTGAATTAAGGGACAATCTTTTTTTCTTTTTGTGGAAAAAATTGCAAACAAGAGGCGTGATGATATATCTACCCATTTTAGTTCTTCTGCATTTGAATGATGAATATAGATTCATGCACTACCATCTGACCTCTCTTGTTTCTATCAAGATTTAAAAAAAAAAAAAATGTGTGATATTTATAAATTAATCTTTCTAATTTTTATTATATCTAATTGAATTTCTCTGTGTAAGCTTTTTCGAAATTGATTGTGCAATCCGTGATGAAGCTATGTGTGAAAATTGCTGATTTACATGTGATTATCCAAACCATAATTCACCATCTTTCGGCTGAGATTGCTTGTAGTTATAGCTGTTAAAAGAATCTAGGGCTCGTCAGGGCTCGATTTTTGCTTGACTAGTTTGATAAAAGAGTTGAGCTCATGCTTGTTTAAAAAGCTCTTTTAGTTAACAAGGTTAATTTTGCCTGTGGTATCTAATGTCTGGAATTATTTTCTCTTTCTGGTCATTTCGTTATGAGGGCATAAATGAAGTTGAAAACAGGTCTTGCGACACAGATAGCTTTAATATCATTTATAAGCTTTCTGTTACTAAAATCCTGCTAACATAATAATTTTTTACTTGTAATGTCCTTTTTTTTCTTTTTTTTTTTTTTNGCTTTTATAAGCTTGATGAATCAAGTTTAGGCTTAATTCACCTTTATGTAGAAGTATGATTCCATCATTTCTAATTTTATTGGTTTTACATAAATCATGAATATTATGAATTTTTCTACTGTGCTAACTGAAACTCAAATGTAAATTGATGATAATAAACCCATTTCATTTATTTCACTATGAGGCTGTTTTTTAAATTAATTGTAGATGCAAAAGACAAATGAGGATATCAATTGAGACAAGTGAGGCAAAAGCATCTCAAGAAAAGAACAAAGAAAAATAAATAAAAACATAAATAAAGATTCTTGATTATTCCATATCAAACAAAAATACTTCTTGTCTTGTTGCAATCCAACAATGTAACATGACTTCAAATATTTGTGCCTCTCTAAAATTCCCATCAAAATCAGATGGATGTTTAAAAAAAAAATACAACAGTTATTTGTGAATATGGGATGTTCATCACGAATAAGCTAGTCACAATTATTATATGATTTAAAATCGTAAAAATAAGATCTTAAGATGGGAGTTTCTTGTTTGGTTAAAGTAGAATAGCATGTTACGGATACGCTAATGTCATTTAAAATCATAAAAACAAGATGGGTTTCTGGTTTGGTTAAAGTTTCTAAGCATATTGAATTATTGATTTGCCTTTGTTACAAGAAATCTTTGGTTGTACAAGGATTATCTTGTTTCAAAAAATGATGCAACTTTGAAAATTTGTTACTTTCGATTGAGCCGTGGAGTAAAGAAAAACGGTAAA